AAGCTGGCGAACGTGTGACGAAATCGTTACGAAAAGGGTGATCGGGCGAGGCGAACGGTAGTCGAGTGGGGGATATAAGCAAGAGAGAGCAGTGCGCGCGTACATTTTCTTTCCCTGTTTCTCTCATAGCCAGTTATTTTTCGTAATTTTATTTCGTTTTGAACAATTTTAGTTGTGAATAAAATTGTAAATTCATTTTAAAGTTCATGTTTTGCGAATTTTCGGGTGAATAATAACAAATTATGGAAGGTAGTATGGAAGGAAGAAGCATATACATGCATATATTATTTATATATGCATATATAAACATATAATATACATACAGATGGAGCTAAAGAAGTTTTACTTCAGTCGTGTGGTCACACAAGCACACTCGTTTTCAAATTGCATAAAATTAATCCGTTGGAGGTTGGTGTGACGATAACGGATGATGGCGTATGATTTATAATTGCAGGTCTGGTTACGTGTAAACGGTTTATCAAGCAGGTTTAAGAGTAGTAACGGCGGAGAGATTGATGAGTCGGCGTGGCGTCCCTGAGTTTTGCCGTCATTGTCGAAAGTTCTTCACAATAAACATCTGCTATTATTGATACAACGTATCGTGACAACCAAACAGTTGCCATTACTTTTCTATGGCTAAGCTTAGCTTAGCTCAGCTTTACGTCATTGCTCTGATATTTCCTCTAGGTTAAGCCATTGCGATTTTCATTATATTATATAAGTTTATCTCAACTTTTTTTAAATTATGTTATATATATTATATATATTTATTTTAATTTAAGGCCTTCCTTTATAATATTTATAGGTCGTAACAGATACCGAAATGTTTATTTATTATTAAAATTTAAATTAGAAATCGTTTCATGGCGATCACCTCGTTCTTAGGAGTTATATTAATTAACTATGCATTTATTAACATGATAGTTATTACGAGATTGCCGGTGAATGAAATAATCGCATGGAAACTTTCATATTTAAGAGCTGATTTGTTTAATCCTCAGTTAGAACTTATTCATAGGATAAAATACAAATATGTATAGTCAAATTAAAAATGACAGTTGTATGAATAAAATAGTTAATAGTTATTTCAGAATTATATTCAGTCAGGTTATATTTAATTTGCTGGAAAACTTTTTTTATAGAAGAAGGGCAAACGAGTATGCGGCTCACCTGATGGTAAATGTCGACCACCGCCCTTGAAAAACTACACCACCAAGTGAATTGTGTGTGTGTGTGTGTGTGTGTGTGTGTGTGTGTGTGTGTGTGTGTGTGTGTGTGTGTCTGTGTGTGTGTGTGTGCGTGCGTGCGTGCGTGCGTGTGTGCGTGCGTGCGTGCGTGCGTGCGTGCGTGCGTGCGTGCGTGCGTGCGTGCGTGCGGTGCGCGCGTGCGTGCGTGCGCGCGTGCGTGCAGGCGTGGCGTGTGTGTGTGTGTGTGTGTGTCGGCAAGTTAAAAAGTAGTTACCTCACTTCTTGAATGTCTCTAAATCGTACCGGTTCGGAAAAATCGTCGTTAGTGAACGATTCCGGTACTCTATGAAGTGCTCAGAGGGTCTAAGGGAAGGTGTATGATCCTACACATCTGAAATTCGCGTAGTTGAAGTAACCAGTTATGTCAGCCTATATTCTAAGGGAAAGTTATAAACCGATCGAACCGGATGGCCGCTTAAACGTTAACAGATGACGTCGTGATCTCTGCAAATGAGATCTGTTGTCAAGGAAGTTTTAGACATTTGGACAAGTTCGAAGAGTTGGTCTGTGTTGGCATTACCGCTATGTGACCTATATGGGTACACGCGGGGATGCTCGTCGATGTCTACGCGTAGCCAAAGAATGGACAGGTCTGTACTCGAGAACAGTGTCGAGAACAAATATACTCGAGAACAGTTTCGAGAACAAATATCCTCTCTGATATAATATACGTATATATGCAAACTCCAGCTCGAGGCACAAAGGAGTGTCCCAATTTGTACCCCGGTCTATATCTAGGTCACAAAGAGCAATTTGCCTCGAGCAATGTTGTGCTGGTACCTCCTGGGATAGTATCTCATTTAATTTCGCTACCATGGTAATGGTGGGAGGAGGTTGGGTCTCCGGCCACCTGTAAGTACCAGGTGGAACGCAGAAGTGAAACTTCTACTTCATGCTGGTATTCTGTGAGGTCATGATACCTCCTCGATTCGAGGCGGCCCAATCGTGCGACAGCAAAGCTGCCGCGGGCTCTGAAACTGTTAACTTATATGTATTATCTGATGATTGAAAAATCGGCCCTAAGAAACAAAAAAATATTTCTAGGCTGTAAAATATTATCAGATATGTTACTTTATTTTTTAAATTCCTTCTTTGTAATATAATATAATACTCTAATTACACATTTAATAATTATAAATTAATGAAAATATTTCTGTTATCAATTATTATTTAATATGATCTCAGATAGTCCAACTCTGAGGAAAACTAAATTTAAAACAGGGAATACTAAAAGCATTAATGCATTTTATATATTTTTAGATTGATCTAACGTCCGTTCATGAAGTTCTATATCCATACCCCATTAGTTATTTTGCGTCGAAAAAAAGTTTGCGATAATATCTTTTCCTGCCACTCACTTGGTTTTTAACTTTTTCACTTGGTTAAAAACTAAAAGAGAGCTACGCCATTTAAATCATATGCGATTTAAGGTTAGATTTCTTATGGCAGATTTAATAGTTTTTTTTTGCTAAATGTATGTAATTTTAAAAGTAATTTAACTAGTAACACATTTAGGTGCAATTGTCTATTAATTATAACTATCTGAAATTGTAAATGATCGCAGTTTATTTACTGCCCAAAATGTTATGACATAGGTCAGAAACACACGTCCGCTTTTTATCCGATTGTAGGTGGATTTAGAAAAGTGACTATTGATATATTCAAAAAAATATGATCACTAGGCAACATATATATCGAGAAATGACGTCATATCATAATCATTGCCACTTCAGCTCACAAATCCGTTAGGCTATGTCGGTTACTCTGGTTCTACTGCGGATATCCTCATTTCTAAGTTGATTGCGCAGAGAAACCCTGAGCATAGTCCTCTCAATAGCTCCACGTCTCAAATCCATTAATCATCACTGGCAACACGAACTGGTTGTATAATCTTGTTTTTAAGTTTTGATGTATACCTGACGAGAAGATATGTCGTAGGTAATTTCCCGGACCCGAACGTTGCCCAGCCGAGTTGAATCCATCGATTGACCTCTATTCTAATCTCGCTCAGACTGGTGTCCGGGATATCATCAGAATAGTGTCTCTTAAATCGTTACTCACACTTGCGTGCGGCTCCAACGATGACGAGTACAGCTGCACATAGAACTTCTCAATCTCACTCAAAAGCTCAGGTGTCCCCGCAAACGCTGCTGCCAAGTTTGGTCTTCAATTTCGGGAGTTGGCTCTTTCGACAGTTGGCAGATCTTTTGCAAAGAATTTCGAGACATTGTATTGTACTTCTTCAACACGAGTTGTATTGAAGGTGCGTAAGTCCCGCCGCATGCTTTTGGAGATCTGTCTGTTCAGTTGCCTGTACGCTGTCTAATCTGCTGAAGACTGCAGTTTCATTCCCTGTCTAACAACCAAGAGATTAAGTCAACAGTGTCCAGTTAGGGCTCACAATTTATTTTTGCTTAATCCCAGGGCTTTTGAAGGAAATTTACGATCAAAATGCCGGATCAAGGTTTTAGAATGTTTTAAGCCTGGCATGTCAGACCAGATCTTAAGTGGTTTATTGTGATAAAGAGTTTCAGAGTGTGATCGGAGAATTTTTGTGTTCTTCAGCGACGGGTCTAGCAGAACTTAGCTCCGACTGCATGGACAGTTTCCACGAGCTTGTCATTTATATCGTCCATATTGTTGCAGTCTTCTAGGCACTGAAAACGATTTTGTAACTCGAGATGAAATTTTTCGAAGCTTTGGATTACAGTACGAGGGGGGCGGGGCGTTGACTTCGGTAGACTTGACCTGTCCAACTTAACGTTTAGGTTCAGTGTGCCTCTGACCGATCGGTGATCGCTGCCAGTTTTCACCCACGCGATCATTGAGACATCACTGAACAGCTGTTGCCGTCTAGTCGCCATAATGAAGTCAACCCCATTTTTCAAAATTTTTTATTTTTTATTTTTTATTTAAACGTATTTTTTTACGAAGTTTTAACCGAAATCAGTTCGCGTATATGGCATGAAAATCAATCTGCAAGTAATATTTTGTAGCGCTCTTATCAACCTTTTAGTGACGCTGGAAAAACGAGAATGTATGTTATAATTTATAAATATAAAATTTTATTATAATACAAGTACGCAAAAGTTGCTTATATGGTATATTATATTGTTAAGTAATGCTTTTCTGAATAGCGATGATATAGTCTTAAATATCGTTCCAAATATAATCTGGAACAATATTTAGGACTATATCAAGTGGGTGTGTCCACTATATTATCTTATCAAAACATATGACTGCATCAATATCTGATTTTTTTAAACACAATGATTAAACGTTGAGCGGATAACATATAAAATTCATCATGAATAACAATGTAAAAGTATGCAATTAATTTATTCACTAATTGTTGTTGTTACATTTTAATTGACGTCGCAAATTACCTTATTATTTCATCGAGTAATAATGAAATAAAATAAATTATTTATGTTAATCAGTAGGTACTCTGTGCGTAATCAGTACAGTAGTAAGTTAAGGTAAACTGGCAAAAGGCCGGCTATAAGGTTTTAGAACCGGTAACTGTAGGTGAAGAAAGGATCTGTCGGTCTTTTACCGTAAAATACGGTAGGCTATAGATGAAGTGGCGATTAGATGAGGCTTACAGGACAGTTAGAACCATGGTTTGTGGTAGTCAAAGGGAGGCCATAGTTCATAATACTAATGACGTGCAGTAATAGAGAAAATGGTATATGTCTGAACAATGAATCTACTAAAATGTATATGTAATATTTACGGTCATCACAAACTTACGAAATATTCCGCAGCACTTTGATCGGATAGCGTAGGTGAGAGAAAGCAGCCAGGTGAGGGCGGCGCAGTAGCCGCAGATGGTGGTGGAGCCAGCGACAGTAGTTCACCTGCCGAGGCAGACATGCTGCTGGCGGCGGCCAGGCTACGCAGACGGTCAGCCAGATCAGTATGACCACCATGGAAGTTCTTATTCGCGTTGCTTCCTTCATCCTTAGTACTTAAGTTATTTATGATTCGGGGTCGCCTAAGCTTTCGCGAGGCTGCCCGCCATCGTCTTAAACGACAAGCAGCGTTATTAAGCACTTCGTCTGTTTCTTGACATTGGTGTTGTTCCTCGTCAGACTGCGGGATGTTTTCTGTATCTACATGCTCATCTATATATGGTAAATTTTGGTCAAGAGTGAACGGAGATGGATTCTCTTTATCTTTATCGTTATCTTCTAATACTGGGTTTGACGGTTTCAAAAAGTCTCTTAACGCAAATGCGAGCTTTTGCTCAGCATTCAATCCATCTGGAACACTATTTTCAAGATCGGAGGTAACGTATTTGACTTCTTCACTTTTGCTTTCATTTTTATCTTTGTAGCCATTCTTTTCATTTGAATTTAGGTCAACATTTATTTCTTGGCTATAAGAAGGCATTGTGAAGAAAAACCGTTGGCAATAATTCATTAGTTCCGTATTTGCAGCGGTGATTTCTTTATAGTTTTACACTAAATTTGCCCATATTTTATTTTATTTAAAAATATGATAAAACAAAATTTGTAATAATCGCACATTTTATCAGTACGCTTTTAGGCTATCAACATTTATGGGATCTCTCTATCCCGAAATTCAATTTATATTAGGTATGTGTTCGATAATATTGATAACACTATAAAAAGGAGAGCACAACATTAGTTCACCGAAATAACCTTTTAGTTTCACGGATACAATATACACAAATCGATTATTTTTCCATTTACCCACAGGACAGAATAAATTCTTACATTAAATATAATTCAAGCTGTTTCTCAAATGGTTCAACCATATGCGCAAACTGAACAGCGAGCACTACTGGCTGGCACTGTCATTTTATTACATACATACAAGGTATACGTAATGGTCTCGATTGTCGATTTCTTTCTTGTTTGTATTGACGTAGGTACGCCCAGCATGCGCTTTGTGATTTGTGATAACTCACGCCCCCTTGCAGTGGATCGATTGAAACACTTACTAGCGCCATCTATCAAAAAGCATTGTCCGTTTACTCTTTGTTTCAATCGAAGAACCTCATAATATATTAGAGCAGAAATGTAAGATGGCGTGCAAATTTCAGTTAATATTTTTTGGGATCAAATGTTTTCATTATATTATTTATTTATAAGATCGTTGGTGCGTCTGTTAGTGATCTTGAATGTTCTAAATGACTTGACCGATTGATTTTATATTTACACAATATATTTATTCTGTTGTGACGATGAGTTTAAAGCTATGATATCCGATCCGTTATCTGATCCGATAGGTGGCGCAGTTATCAAGTTATTAACTACAATGACAAAGATAACGATAAATAAATAATACCAATAGCAACATCTTTATAACACGTTACAATCATGTATTCAACAATACACATTAATGAATGAAACCATTTAATATTAAGTCATCACTATCATCATCTGAAAATTCAACTATAAACGTAAATAATATAGTCGTTATTCTACCCAGTAGGTATTTAATTTTTACGTGGTAGAGCCATGCTGCAGCTATATTAGTAGTAGGTATAGTTGCAGCACGAATGGGTCAGCTCGGCCGAGGAAAGACCACGCTTTCACAGAATACCAGCGTAAAATAGCAGTTTAACGCTGCTGTGTTTCATATAGTGTGTGTAGAGAACCGGAGACCCTTTCACTGTAAAAGAGGCGTTCCATTTTAATCCTCACGGGTAACAACGCATCTACATTTTGATTCGTGAACGAGGATTGATGTAGATGTCTTTAACCACTTACAATCAGGTGGACAGTATGCTCGCTTGTCACCCTTATCCTATAAAAAAATTATAACATCAGAATAAAACATCCTTACAATATTATTTACTCACTATCATCACCAGATGATGATAAAGACGAAGTTTTACCAACAATTAAAATAAATCTTTCTACCAAATTATCAAAACTCATAACTCGGGTTTAGCGTTACATTGAGTTACAATTTATTCACATGAGTTACGAAATTTCTCAACGGAATGTAACCATAAATATTTCATGGATTTTTCCTGAAGGTATTTGCTTTCAGATGCTAAATATTATAAGAGCATTAGTAAATTCTATTTATCAGTATCAACTGTATCGGTATTTGGACTTATAATTCTACTTACGTCGCACTTAAATAATAAACTTAATAATTCTTCGGTCTATTTTAGCAACTTCTTCTCTTATTTGATTCGATCGGTTTTTGTCTTTGTTCTGCAGGTTTTTTGAAGTGAAACATTCTTTAGGTGAGTTGTGCGATTTTGTATTGGTAAAAACTTATAAGTTCGTGTCACGGTCATGCTAATGTTAACAGTATAATGATAATGATTTTAATTTACATATTATGAAATTTTAATATTTGATTCTACGATTATTTTGAAAATGCCAAAAAAACACCACACAATATTTTAGAAGTGAAAATTCTTTGTCGTTTTACCGCTGGGGCTGCATGAGTCATAAAATAAAAGAAGAATTATATGTCCTAAAGAAAATTCACTTTGTATGTGTGTACATAGTTACACGCACAATTTTTATTTTGTGTAAATTCTACGCAGACGAAGTCGAAGGTAAAAGCTAGTAATAAATTATATCTAAGGAATAAAAAAGATATTAAGCAGCGGCAATTCTTTGGTTTCTAAAAACCGATTTTTTAAATTATTTTATGAAACTTTAATATTCTAATTTTAGAAAATTATTTGAAAAACGTCAGTTATGGCTAAATTTCCTCAAAAATCTATCGTTATGTTTCGTTTGTGATCTGCCTGTGGTCAATAGTATGAAACGTCACTTCTATTGCTCGCCTGCCGAGTGTCTCCTACTATTTCTAAAACGGGAGATACCCAGGTCCACTAGTGGACTTGCACCGGTTGATGATTAATAAAATGGATAATCAGCCTGTGAAATTACGCAATAATCGTTAGGTAAGCCCAAACGTTTAAAATAATCACTGAGAATGAGTGTTACATTGATCATTATTCGCTCTAAAGCGCTTTTAACCCAAATAAGAACAGTTTATGTAGTTCGAATGATGTTATTATCCAACAAAGTAATTGACGTGACTCATTGATAATTTGTTATTTTGGTTTCGACACGGTTTTATGCTTTAGTTATGAAATAGTAAATATTTTTTTCACATGTTGACGATGAATTTAAAAAATAATTTATTGTTTGTACTCTCAATGAAGAGACATCGGTGATAGTGATACTACTAGGTAGTTTTAGTAATTTTAACAGTAATTGAATGTGGTTGCACGGTGTGATTTATGTGTAACTAGCTTTTTACCCGCGTCCAAGTTGTATCCTCCAGGCAGTCATAACCCACACTTATTTTGAAATGATAATAATCAAAGATTTTAACTTACACTTAAGCCTTTCGAAGCGTGAAAAACCAGTCTAACATTCTTCTCTTCCTGTTCCAGTATATTCATCGTCCTTAAACAATAAATCACTATCTTAGAGATGTTTTGGTGAACTCCTTGCCTATGCGTGCACATTGTGTTTAATTCCTTTTTCCTTCAAAAATCTATTCAACGCTTATTACTTGGAACTGTAGGTAAATCTTGTCCTTGTCTTGGATATATTTATCTTACTTTTCTCAACTCTCATCATCTTACGTTTTTATTTTTTTTATAATTATCTTAGGAGGAAGGTTTTACAAAAAATATACAATTTATGTAGATACACCTTCCTTCTATCCATTTGTTATGAACAATTCTTGGCGTAATAATAAGGTTGTCTGGTAGAAATTGCTTCGAGCACGACAGTACTGTCCATTGTATCTTCTTTATGTTTTCATTTTGTTTTTGTATCAATGTGTATTGTTGTTCAATAAAGAATATATTGATTGACTGATTTATTAAAAACCGCATAAAAATCATTTAAAATTTTATAATAGTTTTCATTCCCTATTTTCCCACTTAGCGGCGGAGTATTCAATATCCTTAAAAACGGTTTACTTAGTTTCTAATCTAAAGCACATAATAGTGTTATGAAAGATATAATTAAAACAGCATAATTTCAAACGATCTTTCATCCTTAATTCCCATTTCTCTCTTAATTGACTCTTAAGGGAAGAATTGTCAAAATACAGAAACACGTGTCACCTAGGGAATGCAAATCTCGCGAGATTGGGGCTCAAGCGAGGAAGATTTCTTAAATTTACGCGAACACTACACGTTGAATAAACCTATTTATACAGAATTTTTTATAGAATAGGGTGACAAACGAGCACATAGTCCACCTGATGGTAAGCATTTGCTGTGGCCCATAGACATCTACTCTATTCTCGATTACAAATCAAAATGCAGATTCGTTGTCACCCATTCTAAGATGGAATGTCTCGTTTCCAGTAAAAAGGGTCTCCGGTTCTCTATACTCACCATACGAAACACAGCAGCATTAAGCTGCTATTTGACGCTGGTATTCTGTGAGAGCGTGGTCCTTCCCCGGTCGAGCCGACCCATTCGTGCTACAACTATACTACTTATATAACTGCAACATGGCTCTACCACGTACATGTATACAAACGTTTATCGCGCTCAATTAACTTAATTTTAACTTATTTTTTAATTTCCGATATTTCGGGTGCTTTACAGTACCCGTGGTCACGGGGGTGGACTAAGATGTTTGACGTCCCAATGTCATAGTTAGTATGGCTACCTTCAGTTTTTGAATATTTTATAATGTGTTGTTGTGTGTTTGTTCGCCATGAACTCCTAAACTAATAAACTGATTTGAATGAAATTTCGCACACTGTGTACAGTTTGGTTCAACTTGGGAGATAGGATCGTTTTTATCCCGAGTGACTAGTGACTACAAGTCCTCGAGATATTGATATTCCTTAGCATCTTTTCTCACTATGTTTTTCTTCATTGCCGAGCACGTGGTCAGTTACCATTTAAAGTTTCAATTAACAATTTGTTTAGTGTCGGCACATGAGTATATAAACGGAATTGTCTAATCATGTGGTGTCGGCGTTTCTGGAGTGAAAGTAGAAATGCAAATGTGTAAGTAAAAAAAAAAAAAACAAATTTTAACAATGATATTATTTTCGTTATTCTCATTTGTTATGATTGCGTCGATTTATAGCTATTAAGCTATGTGCAAGGCACCATGAAGGCTGCTGTTATTAGGGGAATACCGGCAATTATTTAACTGAGGACATATTTAACACACAGCCATCACCGTGTCGGTTTTATAAGCTAAAAACTCAGTGGACGCAGTGCACTTTACACTCATTGATATGAAATCGATGACAAAATAATAAACAGTGTAATTTTTTTTGTGTCATCAAAATGTGCTTGTGGCTTATAACTGCTTGTTTAGGTGTTTTACCCACAAATCCTGCACCTCCTAATATATTTGTAGTGCAAGGTGTACCCACCCCTATTCTGCAACCAACAACAGCTGCGACAACACCAGCACCTACAACCACAACAGCAAAGCCACCACCCACCACAACCGCTGCGGCTACTGCTGCTCCGATGACAACTGCACCTCCAAATACTGCAGCACCAACAACAGGTGGAGAGTTTTCACTAGTTTTACTATGCGACGATCCTGATTTGATTTGCGTTTTTAATCCGAATCAATCCGCTACAGGCTCGCCACAAATTGACCCACGGCTTGGAACTACACCGGGATTATCGGCTGCAATTCAGTTACCACCTATAACTTCATATAACGCGCAAGTCACATTATACGATACGGCCGTTAAGTTCCCTAGAGAACGCCGGAGTTTGATTATGAGAATGAAGAACCTATACGACAGTTTTAATAGCCCAACATACAAAAGCAATAAACATAATATTCGTAAGAGACAAAGTTGTAGCTGTGTACCTTCGGGTACCTGCGTTAACTCCGGGGGTGCTGGAATGATAGACATTAGGATCGTGACTCCTGTAAGTTTAGTTGATAAATTGATGTAAATGCTATTACTATGTAAGAGTTAACTTAGGAATTACTCCATTTCTCATTCTTCAATTTTTATTACAATTCTATTTTAATTTGAAATATAAGTAAACATTTTATAAAATATCTAATAATACTATAGGGTGCGACGGTGACACAATGTTCTACTGGTCAGACGTACTGCTGTGGTGCTACGACCAAACAAAATACTATTGCATGTGGGACATTGCAGTCAGTACCATCACCTGGCGCTAACCCTGGAAGTGGCCAAGCTAATTATGGTGAATATCCCTGGCAGGTGAGAAAAGTGTTTTATATAGAAATATTTTCCTTGAAAAATTCGTGTTTTTATGCAATGACGGTGATAAACGAGCAACAGAGACTACCTGACGGTAGGTGGATGCTGTGGTCTATAGGCATGTACATCCAACATCGATTAACAACGCAGACGCGTTGTCACCTCTGAGGCCTAAGATGTAATGCCCCTGCCTTTTTCATTATTTATTATTTCACGCTGGTATTCTGTGAGAGCGTAGTCCTCGGTCGGGCCGACTAATTCTTGCACAACTACAAATATAGATGCAATGTGGCTTCACCACGTTAAAAGAATTATTCATGAGACAGTATTGTACACCACACTTGAAATTGTTTTACTTTATGTTCAAGTATATTTATTTTAATACTAGTTGGCCAGGCAGACGTTGTTCTGCCCGATACGACGACCCTTCGTCATATAAAAAATCATTAGATTCGTAATAATATAAATCGAGGGTTATTTATGTAATAATATATGTAATAATGTCTAGAACAGGTAAATGAAATTGTATACTTGGGGAGTGCTTTCAGCCGGGATGGAAGATGTTATTTAGATGTGGATAGGCGTGTTGCTGCCGGAAACAAAGTCAGTGGTGTCCTGAATGCATTAGTAAGAAGGCAAGGCGTGGTGAAGAGTGCACGCCTTGCAATACATAACGCAGTGTTGGTACCGACTTTGTTATATGGCAGCGAAACCTGGGTATGCCAGATGAAGCATAAAAGCAAGTTGAATGCAGTGGAGATGCGATCTCTTCGTAAAATGTGTGGCGTTACCATAGCCGACCGAAAGCGAAACGAAGAGATTCGCAATATGGCAGGATTGAAAGATGACCTTATCACAAAAATTGATAGGGGCGTACTCCAATGGTTTGGGCACGTTGAACGAATGAGTGAAGACCGAATGGTGAAGAAAATATATAGAGCGAAAGTAAATATTAAAAGGTGTCGAGGTAGACCGAGACTAACTTTCGAAGACCATGTGAGCAAATTGCTCGAAGAGGGGAGGTTCAAGAGTACTCGGATACCTAGACGTGCGTGTATGAAGAAGTTAATGAACCTGAAAGAAGCGAAAGAGGTATGTAAGGATCGTGACACTTGGCGATCTGTTCTCTCTGGCTACCCCGTTAGGGATTGTGCGTGACGATAAGTAAGTAAGTAAGAGGGTTATTTATTGGCATAAAAACTATCATATCTATCGAGTTGGACCAAACTGCATACAGTGTGCAAAATTATATTGAAATCAGTTCAGTAGTTTGGGAGTTTATCGCGGACAAAACGTGACACGTATATTTTATATATAAAGATTAGACCGTGTAGTGGCGGTGTTGGAATATCCACTACCCCACATCATGCCGTGGGTTTCGTGAGAGGAAATCGAGGGAAACAAACCACAATATGGACACTAGTGTCTTCTTAATAACAGCCAAAAATAAAATAAAAACATACTGTTTATGCCAACACGACTGCTAAGCGAGGCGACTGTAGCAATAACCTCTCTATTAAGCAACCCATGTGCTGCAGTTAACATTTAATAGGGTGTAACGGTAGCATTTATATTTATTGCAGGCTTTAGTCTTGACCAAACAAAATGATTACATCGCTGGAGGTGTTCTCATAGATCAGTTAAACGTTTTAACCGTCACTCATAGAATGACGTCACATATGTAAGTACCTCTAAAAACACTATCAATTACAAACTATCAAGTGTAAGTTCAACTGGTTATTCTCACTGTCGAAGTTGTCTAGTGTTTCAGGAACAGCGCCTAATGTAAAGGTACGACTGGGCGAATGGGATGCAGGTGGAAGTTACGAGCCGATTCCTTACCAAGAGTACACAGTACAGAAGGTGTTCAGCCATCCATCTTACAACCCTAATACATTGCAGTATGACATTGCTGTGTTACGATTGTCAGCACCGGTACCATTTTCACCGGAAAGTGGATCTGCTGCAACTATTAACAGGGCGTGCCTTCCCCCAAATTCAAATTCAGTGTATACTGGTCTTAGGTAAGTATTTTAGATTTACTTATTTCCTTTATTTATGTTTTTAAGATTATTACAATATATATCCAGCTGCGGTGGCTATATTCAAGGGAATTGAACGCGCACATGGCACAATATTTCATACAAACTAACCCATTGAAACTCCATCGTTGAATAAAAAGTAAAGTAAAGTTACAGCCTATATACGTCCCACTGCTGAGCACAGGCCTCCGCTCATTTCTGAGAGGGTTTTAGGGCAAGGAATTGTCCGTCGCGCTGCCCCAATGCGTGTTGGCGAACTTCACATGTCTTTGAAATATATTTTTTTTCTTATTTCTCTGACGTGTAGGTTTCCTTACGATGTTTTCCTTCACCGCCGAGCACGTGGTAAATCAGCACTTAAAATTGCAATTAACAATTTCATTGGTGCCGGCGGGGATCGAACCCGGTTTGCTCGCGTAACTTCTGAGCTACCACGGCTCAGATGGTTAGCGCTCGCTGTAAATTTCACAGTACTACGCGGGTATCGTTGAATAGCTGACATATTATTATATTTGATTACGATTCGGGACGCAAAGTCTAAATTTGACATTATTTCCCGATAGTCATATACCTAATTACCTAAGTCACCTAAAAGCTCGTCACTCGCCGTCAGGAACGTTATATGCTTTGATTATATACCTGTCTATATAATCAAAGGTTATATGTAACAAGGTGCAATGCAAATTATAATAATTCATCAGTACGATGAGACGATAACAGTAGGTATTTAACTAAACTCGTTTCCATTGGGCTACTTTTTAGAGCAAGGAACGCTTATACGAGTATGTTTTAATTGCGTTCACTGTTTTAAAGCAATATGTACAAACCAATAAAAAAGCTAACCTACAATTATCATGCAGCTCCACTCCTTTATTAATTAAACCAGCGTAAAATAGCAACATAATGCTGTTGTGAATCATATGTTGATAAGTGATGATAACCAGAGATTCTTTTTACTGGTAAAGAGGCATTCCGTGTTAATTATAAGTTTGATTTATAGCTGGGTACAATCCGCTTCATCCTTCAATCCGTAACATCCGCTTACCGTCAGGTGCAATACGTGCTCGTTTATTACTCAGTTCCATTTTTTATGACATAAAATTTGTAATAAAATATAGCCGTCAAATTATACCTATATAATGACTGCGTGCATTTATATAAACGGAAATACATTTAGAGGTTATTGTTAAAACATAATAGTGCAAATAATGACAGTGTGAGAGCGGATGTTGAACTTGCTCTCTTGCATCGCAATTTATCTCGATATATGCATATTGCGCGCACGGAGGAGAGTGAGATTTGCTTAACACTAAGCAACCGGGTATGCTTTCTGCTTAAACTAGAAGTGGTAATGTGCGAACAATGAATACGTGAAAAGAAAACTTTATACTTATAAGCATAAATTGCGCGCACTAAGGAATGTGGGATTTGGCATGTTAAAAACTTATATTACGTAAACTTTGTAAACTTTAAAATGTATTTATTAATTACGAGTACCTATGGTCGAATTTCGACTATTGTATGACTTCTGTTAACTTTGTCAAAAATACGAAAACACCTATCAAGAAGCTAATATCAACAACATTTATCTCATCACGGGGGAGGGGTAGCTCTCTACCCTGCAGGAGAAGCCCCCCCACCCTTCCACCCTTGCGGAAATGTATAATTTGTGAGTAACGATTTTTTTTGTAAAATCATAACCTCACTTTTACAAAGAGAGATTGATCTAAAGTTATTTCTGCAACAGCTTCGGCGCTGCGGGAAGTGCAGCCCCTTCGCCCTAGCGTAGCAAATCGCTGGCACTCATTCTCACTTTTTCTCTCACATACCCACACAGTACGGCTTGCACGGGTGCCCGCAAATTGCAAGAGCGGGCGGGGGTTGCTCCCCCTCCGGGCCTACGGTTTTACAAAAACACTCTAGGAATAAGGCAGACAAGACTACGGGGAGTTGGGGGCGTGCTGATTGGTTGAATGAGTTTTAGAACTGATTCAACCAATCTTATCTATAAAGTGAGGTTGCCGTAAACTCCGCTTCGATAGTGTAAATGAATCAATGTAATGTGAATTGTTATAATTTTATTTTCTGAAAAATCTCTTGGCTGCTCTCCACTGCGACTCAATTTATGGTATATGAGTCCCTTCTTTAGCCACAAATAATTTGTGTGGGTCTGAGTTATAAACTTTTTTATGGGTGTATCCGTGTTAGGAAAATTGACATATTTGATTTTCGTTAGTTGCAATTTTTAGTGAAATTTATATTTATCTGAATTAATTCAAAAAGCACATTTCCGAAACCCAACAATAGCGTGAAAAATTCAATCTTAAGCCTGAGAAACCTCCTAAATTCAAAACAAAATCAAAAAAATCAAGTACCGGACGTCTACTTCATAAAAGTTAATCAAATTGATAAATTTGCGTTTCGTTGTAAGCAATTTTTAGTGAAATTTATTTTTATCGTAATTAATTCAAAACGCATTTCCGACATCTAAAAGTCTAATCGGTTCAAGCTTAACCCTAACAAGCCTCTTAAACTAAAAACATTATTAAAATCAAGTATCGGGTGTCTATAGCCGACCCCCATTTTTATCGGAAACGAATTCTTCCATCTCAGTCCTTTAGTGCCTGAAAGGCAAGGCATCTACATTTCGATTTTAATCGAGAATAGATGTAGATGTCTATGGGCCACAGCATCCACTTAGCATCGGGTGGAATGTGTGCTCGTTTTTCATCCGTTGCCTTTATTCAATAAAAAATGTAATATAACGTGATGAACGTAAATACATGATATCACCAAAATAGATTAAGCATGCAAACCAATAGCAACACCGATTGTTACTAAGTTACACTGGTAGACTTTACCGTAGATTATCCTTCTTTGCTTCTTGTGGTTGAATGACCACTATGGACATAATCACTTTAGACAAGATAACTAATTGAATGTCTATTACTCGCGTTGAACTTTAAACTTCACGAACAAGTGCGGGTTTGATATCTGCTCTCATTTATATTAATTTGGTTCCTTTTACCTTTTACCCTCTATCTCCAAGTATCCCTGAAAATATGGTTGCGTTTTTTGTTTGGATTTTCTAGCATATATTTGACACAGAGCGTCAAAAATAAAGTTAAAATACATCACACATGTAGTAATATATAGATGTAAGTATTTTTGTGGTTTAGTATAAAAACTCATTTCGCAATGTAAACGCTCATTAAGAAGTTAAGAACTGATTTAACGATAGTCCTATAAAAAAAAATTTGCTTGATATTTTAGATGTAGGTTCCGTGATAAAATATGATCGTGAGGCCAGCAAAGCGAGCGGGTATTCAGCTAGAAAATTACATACAAGGTTACTTTTCAGAGGGTTGCCAAATATATAAATAATGATATACCGTTATTGCAAATTTTGAAAATAGGAATAAATAAGGCTTCTACTTTTATTTGAAATTATCCAAAATTGAATGTGATTTATGGGCAACAATATTTTTGCCTATCGATCGACCTTTACGAATGTGTGCGTGCGCAGTAAAATCAGTTAAAATAATGCATTACCAGTAAAGCATTTTGAATTTAAAGGATAGAAAGGACAGAATGTTTGGGATTTATTTTAATTAATTTTTCTTCACCATTTGCCTATATTACTTATTCTGTACCTTCTCTAGCAAATTTGGCCGATTATTGCAAAATAACTCTGTAATTTATCACAAAATAGTGGTTCATTAAGTAACATTCAAAATCGAAACAATTGGCTTTATTAGTATTTCAAACTTAAATGTCATATTTATGTAGGTGCTGGGTGTCAGGATGGGGCAAAAATATGTTCGGTATGACAGGTCAATATCAGCAGATCATGAAAAAAGTGGATGTGCCCATAGTAGCTCCGGCCACTTGTCAAAGCCAATTGCAAGCGGCTAGATTAGGGCCAAACTACGTTCTCGACACTACGTCTTTTATTTGTGCTGGTGGTGAAGCAAATAAGGATGCATGTACTGTGAGTAATTTGTTCATTACTTTAAATTATAAGATGTATTTATATAAATTTATTTACTTTACACACTCCGCTCATTGGTAAGAGAAGGACAGAAGTCACTGACTACAACAAAACTACAACTGAACGGAATAATTTATAAAAATTCCTGAAGTGTGCGTACATTAGTAAAGTCCCTTCTTCTTTATCAGCCGATTGCAGTCCACTACTGGACGTCGGTCTCTCCCACTGTAGAAAGGATATGCCATCATCGCCACATTTGGTAGGCTGATTAACGATCGCGGTACTACAAGTCGTCCAGCATTTCTGATGCTGCTTCAAGGTGCCGATCTGAGTATTTTACGTCTTGAATATACTTTTTTTTTAATTTGCCTTCCCCTAAATTTTGCTACGAGTATATGTGAAGGTAAAGCGCCATCTATCGGAAGCAATGACCTTTTTGACTTTTGATATTTACTGGATAAAATAGGTTGAAGGATTGAGTTGTTTGATTTGTGGAATAAATGACATTCGTTATAAATTCTAATTAGTTTTTAGTTTAAAATGTAATAAATGTTTTAATGGACAACATTTTAACAGCAACGTGGTGAAACGGACTGTAGCCTTTAGTAGGATTTTATAAAGAATGAACCTGAATGAAATGAATGAAACCTGAGTTTCTGAACATTTTTTTTTAAATATAGATTTATTTATAGAACAGAGGGCTGTCGAGAATACAGCTCACCTCATGGAAGTGTCGACCGCTGCCCATGAACAACTGCCACTACAAACAAATGCAAGCGCATTGCTGGCCTTATCAAAAGGAGTAAGCTTGTTTCTTGAAGTTCCTAAGTCGTATCAGTTCAAAAAATCACCAGTGGTAGCCGATTAGGTAACGAAGTCGTGCGAGGAAGTGAAGTCGTAGTAAATCGCACTGTACTGGACCTATCAGCACCCAAATGGTGTGGATGGTATCGTGAGTTTTGTGTCGCGATGTGTGATAGCACAATTCAGAGCAGGAATTAATCCGAACGATTCCTCTGAGTATTACCCGTGATTGATGCGACAGAAAAGGGATGGGACATTTCTTCACAGTGCCAATAAATCGTGCTCATCTAAATGAACTTGGTCGTTGACAGTTCGGATCGCACTTCGCTGGACGCGGATAAGTGGAAGGAGCTGGCACTAGGGTGCTTTAGCCCAGAGATGAAAACAGTATTCCATGTGAGGCTGAATTTCAGTTTTTAACATGTTCATATATTATTCATGGGACGGAACGGGTTAAAGTTGCAAGCGGTGTGCCGGCAGGAAATATTATCCTGCTCTACTGAGCACGCCAAGCTTCCTGGAGGGCAATCTAGCTTTCCCTTTCAGGTGACCGTGGGTGTATGAGTAATTTGATATGTCATTGACCACACAGCCTTGTGGAACACCAAAACATCTACTAGGACCTTGATGCTTCTATCTGCTGTTTCTCGGGAACGCTATAGGAAGGAAACTACGAAAGAAGCGCTTTGTGCCAAACCCTTTCAACCTTTGCTATGCCCAAAGTAACTAGCAAGGCTTTCCCGTTGGCCTCTAGTGCCTCCACTCATAAGAAACAGGTAAACGAGATTATCACTAGCTGAGCGTCCCTCACGGAAACCATATTGTCAATTACTGATCGACTGGTCCTCCAGGTACCTTATGAGCTGGCAGTTTATAATGAATTCTATGATTTTGGTGAATAAGGAGGTTATAATTTTATGGATTCGAGCGGTCGCCTTTTTTGAGTGTCGGTACACTAAAGCTGTATTCCATGACATTTACGTGGTAAAGCCACGCTGCAGTTTTATTATAGTTGTAGCACGAATGAGTCGGCTCGATCGGGGCAGGACCACGCTCTCACAGAATATCAGCGTAAAATAGCAGCGTAATGCTGCTGTGTTTCGTGTAGTGAGTGTCGAAAACCGATGACGCTTTTTACTGGAATCGAGGCATTCCACTTTAGTCTTCAGGGGTGACAACGCATTTGCATTTTGATTCTTAGTTGAAGATAAATGTGGATGTCTATGGGTCACAGTATTCACTTACCATCAGGTGGACTTTGTGCTCGTTTGTCACCCAATGCTATAAAAAATGTTCAAGGCTACTTCTAAGGAGTAAGAGTACCGTAAAAGATGCATGAGAATCGGTGCCAACTGCGGAGCACACGTCTTAAGCACTCTAATAGGCTTACTGGACTTTTGACGTCCAGCGAGAGGTGTGCTTTACGCACTGAGTACTGTGTAAAACGCACATCTGGCATCGAGCACTTACACTTACACGGGATAGTCAACAGAGTGTTCCAAGTAGACCAGAATGCACGGATTACTGTAGGAAGGCGAACTTGTTTCTTGACAATTCTTCCGATGTCGTCTGTCTTCTTTAGAAATAACTCATTTGTAGGATCAGGAGGCGAAATTATATATTTTTAAGAACGCCGGTGTCTGCATCTCGGTATGTTGATGCGTCAAACCAGATCTCTCTCTTTCACTCCCGCTTATAGCGTGGTGCATTTTCACAGGAGCCACCAAACTCCTGTGTGCCTTCGATGGGTGCTAGATATAACAAAGAATTCCATACCTTAAACTCTCAGTAGTTCATTCATGGGACGAAGTATATTGTTGTTCTCCAAAGTAATGGAATCCATCATAAGCTGCCAGCTCATAAGATACCTTGAGGATCACTAGCTGATTAGTGACCGCCAATATGGTTTTCGTCATGATCGACTAGCTGGTGATCTTCTGGTCTACCTGACTCTGATTGGCCGTTAGTTTGGACATAGGTCGCCGTTCGGGTCTGGCATAACGCGCTTCTTTCGAAGCTTCCTTCCTGGGCTTCCGAGAAATTGTGCAATTGGATCATCAGTTTCCTTGCTGATCGGAGCATAAAGGTCGTAGTAGACGGTGCATGCTCTGATTACAAGCTTATTGACGGTGGTGTTCTACAAGACTAAGTGATATCACCAATGCTGTTTCTTCTGCGTATCAATTATATGTTGTAACTGGTAACATGCATTGCTATGCAGACTACAGCACTGATGATGGCTTATACACTGGCCTTACCAATATTTCCCGGGAAGACGTCTCCGAGTACTGGGACAAACTTGTGTCTGAAGTCGAGTCTTCGCTGAACAGAGTCTCGGATTGGGGGGTGACTAAATCTAGTCCAGTTCAATCCCCAGAAGACACTAGTTTGTGCATTTAATGCTAAAAAGAACTGTCGTATATCCTCAGTTTAAAGGCACTCCTCTTGTTGCCTCAGCTAGCATCGAAATCCTCGGTGTCGACATGTCAAATAGTATGCGATTTCATGGTTATTTGGAAAAAAGGGCCAAATTGGCCTCTAAAAGTTTGGCGTGCTCAGCAGAGCTAGACAGTATTTCATGCCGGCACATCACTTGCAACTATAAAAAGTGCAAGTTCGGCCTCACATGGAATACTGTTCTCATCTCTGGGCGGGGCACCCCAGTGCCAGCTCCTTCCACTTGACCGCATCCAGCGCAGAGTGGTTGGAATTGTCGATGATCGAGTTCTTTCTGATCGGCTCGATTCCCTAGCACTGCGTAGGGATGTTGCATCCATTTGCGTTTTCTATCGCATCTACTACGGGGAGTGTTCTGAGGAATTGGTCGGATTAGTTCCAGCCACCAAATTTCACGAACGCACATCGCGTCAAGATTCACGGTACCATCCTCATCATCTGGATGCTTGGGGGTCCACCACTGTGCGTTTTACAAGGAGTTTTCTTCCTCGTACACTTTTCTGTGGAACTGTTTACCACCGGCAACTTTTTCGGACTGATACGACTTAGGTACCTTCAAGAAAAGAGCTTACTTAACTTTCTAAAAGGCCACCATCGCACCTGCAATTCCTTGGCAGCGGTAGTCACTTACCATCATTCCCCGAATCAGTGGTAAAAGTGAAAAATGACTTTCAAATAAGAATGATTTGTAATCAATATTGAAAACAATTATTCTATTATATTTGATTGGAGCTCTTATCCAGTTTCCATGTTCCATGACAAATAAAATTGTAAATGTGTAATTTATCATTTTAGGGTGATGGAGGTTCTGGATTATTTTGTCAAGTGAACGGCCAGTGGGTGGTTGTGGGTCTAGTAGCGTGGGGTCTTGGATGCGCGAACCCCAATGTTCCCGCAGCGTATGTGAACATTGCCGCGTTACTGCCTTGGATACAGCAGCAAGTGGCCACAGCTTGAACTATATAATTTATGACTATAAGTAACGAAAATTGTGTCCTTACTCTATGTTGTATAACCGAATAGCTATTTAAGATAAATTCGTTTATTGTACCTGAAGTTGTTACAATTATCACATATTCTTATAATATTTTTCCAGTTTGATACTACATAAACAATAAAGATTGTTTGTTGCTTATTTTCTAATCCTCTTATATATAGGCGAAAAAATTGCATATAACAAAATATTAAATTAATTTATTAAATATTAAAAAAACATAAAAGTAATGCGTACTATATTTGTTATGACAAATATTTTATTTATAATGAATTTTTTTTTTTTTATAGGATAGGGTGACAATCGAGCACACAGTCCACCTGATGGTAAGTGGTTGCTGTGGCCCATAGACATCTACATCTATCCTCGATTACGAATCAAAATGCATATGTGTTGTCACCCGTGAGGACTAAGATGGAATGCCTCGTTTCCAGTAAAATGGGTCGCCGGTTCTCTACACTCACCATACGAAATACAGCAGCATTAAGCTACTATTTCACGCTAGTATTCTGTGAGAGCGTGGTCCTTCCCCGGTCGAGCCGACCCATTCGTGCTACAACTATACATCTAATATAACTGCAGCATGGCTCTACCACGTATATAATTAGGTGACAAACGCATACACAATCCACATGATCAAAAGTGAATATTGTAAAGTTCATACAAGATACACAATCATTACGTAAATATATATCACAACCAGAAAAATTTTATCAAATTTAAATTTTTATGTGATAGATCCACGCTGCAACTATGTTATAGTTGTAGCACGAATGGGTCGGTTAGACCGGGGAAGGACCACGCTCTCTCAGAATACCGACGTAAAATAGCAACTTAATGCTGCTGTGTTTCGTATGGTTAGTGTAGAGAACCGGAGACCGTTTTAACTGGAAACGAGGCATTCCATCTTGGTATTCACGGGCAACATGTCTGCATTTGGATTCTTAATCAAGGACAAATGTAGATGTCTCTGGGCCACAGCATCCACTTACCATCACGTGGACTGTGTGCTCGTTTGTCATGCTGTTGTAATAAAAAATATATGCTACCTAAAGATTGAAATAAAAGTCCACTGCTGAGCAAAATCTTGCCCCATGAACTGTCGAAATGCCTGCAAATAAATTATTTACCAAGAGTCATACTGACCGTGCTGTGCGGTGGAGGAACATCCACTATTTCATATCGTCCTGTTGCTATCGTAACAGGTGACAAATGGAAACAAACCAGGAGATGGGCAGCAGCGTTTACCTAACTGTGGTTGCCAACATGCCTGCCAAGCGTGGCAACTATGGCAATCAATAGAGGCCTATGTTAGTGGTGGACTTTTATAGGCTGTAATTAATGAATGGATGGTTATTGACAAAAATAACATTTTAGCTGAACAATAATGCCTCCAACCCATACCTGGGTGCAATGAACTACTAATTATAGACTCCGTGATCTTATAAAAGCACATGTTCCACTCGTTTTATGATCCTCCATACTGGATATCGGTCACGGCGGCTAGTCTCTACGTAGCGACTCAGTCATAGCCATCTGCGCAGCACAGGATTATAGTGCAGAGTGTATGCGCAAATACAGGACCACTCTCTGCTTTCTTACTCTCATCGTCCGGAGAGAGTATTAGGCGCAGGACCACAGAAGTCTAAATAATAAGGCAATAATAATAATAATAAGGCCTTGTTATTTAGATTTCTGTACACAAGACCAACGAATTTCAGTGCTTTCCGAGGCACGGGGATAAAACACTGCCATCTGTTGCGCGTTAACGGGACGCAACAAGGCGTCTCTAGTATCTTGACTCGAGTCGAGAGTCTGGTGAAGTGCATGCAATTTACGTGCGTATTTTGCTATTTTGAATTCGCGCGATGCTTGTGGACGTGATTCTGATTGGCAATATCTTGACTATGAGCTTAGAATTTCTTGACAGAAAAATCTAATAACTAATTTTGGCCTGACCCAGGATTCGAACCCGGGACCTCATGGCTAGCAATCGTGGTTGCGACCACAAGACTAACGAGCCAACAATATATGTGTTTCTGAGACTATTTAAGAAAACGAAATATATAAATTATTACTGTTAGTACAGCTCTATCGAAATATTATAATGATGACGTTACGATATCCCACACGATGCACCATCAGAATCAGAGATCGTCGATGATGATGTTGCACTTGACGTGGAAACATGGGCGCGGCTTTTTAAGCGCCACAAAGAGTGCAGAATTCGCAATTACTTCTTAACGAGATCGGACGACCTATTGTGCAAGAAGGTCATCACGTCTGATAAACGAAATGTGAATGCTTTCTACTGAGGCTTATAACTATAAGGTCCTTACTCCATCAAAGGGGAGACGAGACAAGAGGAGGGGAGATGTATTTTAAACAACCAATAGAATTTCGTTATTCACACATCTCGTCTCCACTCAGCTTCAGTGGATACCACTGAGTGGAGATTTATCACATTTGTATGGCGCGATCGAAGCGGAGTTGTGAGCTGTGCCTCGCCGAGATTGAGCTAGGCGGCGCGGCGGTACAAAACGGAGATGTAAATTTCCCCTCGCAAGCTCTCTCTTCCTCTCCAATATCGATGTGTTCTTTTCTTTTGTTTAGATCAATCCTGCTTATTCAGACTCTAGTTCTTCTTTCAAGAAGAACTAGAGTCTGAATATTTTTTTTTCTGAGTCATGTCACTATTACAGTTTTTGTAATAGTGACATGACTCAGAAGTCTGCCTCTAGAGATCTGGTAAAATTGGGTTATTGCTAACCCAATTAAACCAAATAAGTTTAACGTGGCAAAGTCCATTTTTAACTAGAATTTTTTGCAGTTGATGATACTAAAGATGATGGATCAATTTTAAGTATCATCATATCGATATTTATTTTCATTGCCTATTTCATGGAATATCAGCACTTAAAATTGCAATTAACAATTTCATTGGCGCTAGCTGGGGTCGAACTTGGATACCTAAAGTGTACTATAAAGTTTACGGCGAACGCTTAGCCTCCAAGCTACCATTAATACTTTAATTTAATAATTCTAATGTAGAGTTTGTATTCCTCTTTGTTTGTTTATTTCATTTTTTTACCAAATATCGTGGAGTTTCTATCTTCGACGCGTATGCTCTGGGAAAATAGGGAATAAAATTTTTAACTTAACTTCTAAGACGACATTAAATTTGTTAATTTGAACTTATGATATTTCTTAGAGTTCATAAGAGTTACATAAAAGCTTCTGTTTGGCTTTTTCGATTTGGTATTAACATTTTTGTTTTCAAAGTCTACAAGTTAATTTACTATACTAGTCTTTATTTGCTCTTATAATATCTAGCTTTACACTCCGCCTCCAAGTTGTAGGATCCGTACAGTCACGACTCACACTTATGAGATCGCATGAAAACTTCGTATAAAGCGTGATAATGATCGCAGAATTTAAGTTAGACTAAGGCCTGTCGAATGGTGAAAACCACTCTTATAATCTTCCCCTTCCGTACTCCAGTACAATTATCATCTTTCTTCAATGAATAATTTTCCAGTACAACTGTACTGTGTTCAATCCTTTTTTTCCTTAAAAAACTTTTACTCTACTATTTGCCATCATACTTCATATCCTTTCTTGCATTTCTATCCTACTTTTCTCAACTGTTATCGTCTTGTTTTTATTTTTTATTTCATATTTTTAACTTAATTGTGCAGTTTATTTATACCTACCATTCAAAGGGCTTTTGCGTCCAATCTTTCAGTAAGTTTCGAGTCAATCACCCAGTAAAATTAAACAATTTCATAGAAACAGTTATATTTGAGTTAGTTTTGAAAAATCGTAATTTCTGTATTATTATTTATTTTATTTCCAGAGTACTTTCAGAAAGTTTCAAGTCAGTAAAATAAAAACAATATGTGTAATTGTGTGTGTTTTAATATTTTACATAAGTATGTAGTTTAAATAATAGTAACACATGCAGCCCCGGCGATGAAACGTTACATTAAAACGTTACGTGACGTCTTTTTCCACTACGTCGATTAAGAGGTTTCATACAAACTGTTTCCCCCTCTTTAGGGATTGAATTTTTTAAAATCCTTTCTTAGTGGATGCATACGCTATAAAAGGTAGCTATTGTCCAAATTTCAGATTTCTACGTCCAGCGGTTTGAACTTTGCGTTGATAGTTATAGTCATTCAGGACATCCTCAGAGATAGATGGTAATAAAGCAAAACATTATCACCGGTAATTTAGGTAGATAGTCAATTATGTAGGTTTGAAGTTGGCCAGGAGATAGGGATATATTTTATTTATTTTTAATTGCTTTATTGCACCTTTAAGGTAACATTGGGCGGACTTAACGCGAGTTGGCAATTAGTCCACCCTTGGTTACATTATATTATTTTGAAGTGATTATATGTGAAGAGAGTGTGAAAGAGAAGTTTTGGGAGGAATTTGATTGTATGATGATGGGAATACCTGAGAGTGAGGATGTTTATATGGGAGGAGATTTTAATGGACATGTAGGGAGAGTTAATGACGGGTATGAAAGAGTACACGGTGGATGGGGGTACGGAGTGCGGAACGGGAGGGGGAAGTTCTTCTGCAAGCAGCATGTGCTTTCGACCTGGCTGTAGTAAACACGTGGTGCCAAAAACGAGATCAGCATCTTGTTACTTATAAAAGTGGCCACCACGCGACACAGGTCGACTATTTTCTGATAAGACGGAACCAAATCAAGAGTGTAAAAAACTGCAAAGTGCTTCCAGGTGAAGACTTAGTATCCCAGCACCGAATTCTGCTGGCTGACATCTGCTTAACTGTTCGCCTCAACAAACATAAGGATCGTCCCCCACCCAAAATAAAGTGGCATTTGTTGCATAAGGAGGAGTATGCAAGTGAATTTAGAGAGCTAGTTGTAAACAAGATGATAGAGATGGGTGATATGGAAGGAATGAGTGTGAATGAGTGCTGGAAGGAA